GTGACAGATGGAGACCGTTTCTTAAAGAGTGGAAGAACATCTACTTTGATCAGTTATAATTTACTTTTGTTGAGCAAAATTTATGTAGAGTGTGACAAGGTTTACTCTGATATGAGTATTTTAAACCTACTATGCTTAAGTAGGAACCTGTCTTGAAATGTTAGGGAAAGAGTTATCAGAGGTGCTCAAGGTGGCATTTTTACAGAGGCAATATCTTGATAGGAGAAGTAGGGGTTGAACAGGCTAATTTTGTGTTACCATTGTGATACAAAATTATTAAAAATTTCTATTAATGGCTAACACTTCAGTAGCACTTATTGTGTGCCAAGCATTGTTCATTATTCTTTACATATGTTAGCAAGGCCAGGCATGTAAGCCACTTAATGCTTTAATCCCAGCACTTTGGGAGGCTGAGGTTGGAGAATCACTTGAGCCAAAGAATACAGGACGAACCTGGGCAACATAGTGAGACTTCGACCTCTTCTCTTAAAAAAAAAATTAAAAAAATTATCTGGGCATGGTGGTGCGTACCTGTGGTCCCAGCTACTCAGGACACTGAGGTGGGAGGATCACTTGAGCTCAGGAGGTTGTGGCTGCAGTGAGCTGTGATTGCACCACTCATTCCACCTTGGACAGCAGAGTGAGACTGTCTTTAAAAAGCAAACAAAACCCAAATTAGTAATTTCATCCTCAGGAAAGCTCTATGAGTTAGCTATTGCCATTTTTACAGATGAAGAAACTGAGGCATAGAGGTTACATGACTTTCTATACATTGCCAGTGGTAAAGTCTGGAGTGAAACCCAGATGATCTGGCTTCAGCTGCCTGTCAGGCACTGTACTGAGCATTGTGTGTGTATTATTTTCATCCTTTGCTTTTCTTTTCTCTCTTGCTAATTTTAAATTGTAACTGTTAATTTTTACATATCAGGATATGTTGGATAGAAGTATCTTTTTTCTATTAATGTTTTATTTCTATTTTTAAAGACTTTTAGCTGGGCGCAGTGGCTCACACCTATAATCCCAGCACTTTGAGAGGCCGAGGTGGGTGGATCACCAGGTCAAGAGATCAAGACCATCCTGGTCAACATGGTGAAACCACCCTGTCTCTACTAAAAATACAAAAATTAGCTGGGCATGGTGGCACGCCCCTGTAGTCCCAGCTACTCAGGAGGCTGAGGCAGGAGAATTGCTTGAACCCAGGAGGCGGAGGTTGCGGTGAGCCGAGATCGTGCCATTGCACTGCAGCCTGGGTAACAAGAGTGAAACTCGGTCTCAAAAAAAAAAAAGATTTTAAAATTTTGGCGTTTTTCCTGAGACAAGTGTTAACGGAGTTTTGAACCTATGTCTCTGAGCCATCAAATATATTATTACCTTATTTGGTAGATCTAATGTGGTTTTTATTGTTTTTCTCTCCGTGGAGTGTTTCTCTTTGGCAACACTGTCATTAGAATATAGATTATTGTTATTATCAGGCTAATTCTGAAGTGATTAAATTAGTTTAGCCTTTAATTTTGAATTTTAGGGTGCTATGATGTATGGATTTATATTGTTAGATAATTAAAATATTTTTAGATTACTTTTTTTTTAGTTAGTATTTTTTTACTGTTTCAGCGTTTAGGAAATGAGAAAGGCATATTGCATTATAATCAGTTACAGGAACTGGGCGCAGTTGCTCACGACTTTAGTAATCCCAGTGCTTCCGGAGGCTGGGTCGGAGGATCCTTTGACCCCATGAGTTGGAAGTTACAGTGAGCTATGATCGTGACACTGGATGTCACTTTGTCCTAGGCAACAGATTGAGACCCTGCTTATCTGAGCCACATAAAAATGTTGTGGGACAAATCGTGTTCTAGAGAGGAACATGATACTCACACTGAGAAGAACTGAGAATATTTTGGGAGGAAGCAACAAAAGAAGTTACCTCTTCGAAGTATATCCTGGGCCTATTGTGTATAAATGTACATTTGTAGGATATCCTGTTTGACTTTTTTAAAAAAAGCCTTTCTACAGAGATGCATTAATCTTCCTTAGCCCTTTTATACAAATCCCTCCTGCAATGTTGCTGGCATTATTCTCTTCTGGGGGGACCATTTTTCATGTTCTGAAGGTTGTGTAGTTTCTGTGTAGACCTCAGTATCTAATCTGTCAATGACAGGATACAGTGTTGTCAAACTATTGCAAAACATTGCCATTGGGGTTTACTAAATAACTTTGCCAAGGAAGCATATTCTTGTAAGAAATCATTTTAGTCAGTTTTTTTTTTTTTTCTATTTCCTTTGCTTGAAAAGCATGTTTTTCTAACTCAGTAACTATCTTAATAGTAGCTATAGTAACTGGTATTTATTTTGCACTTACCATGCTCTGAGTGCCCATCAGGATTACAATCCTGGGCTACCTCCTTCTCACCAATGAGAAAAATGGAGCCTGAATCAGTTACAATTTGTCCAGAGGTGCATAAAAAGTGATAGAGCTGGGATTTGAACGCCCCCAGTCCAACTATGGAGGTCTTTTTTCCCTTCCTGTTTTGGTCCCTTGAACACTATTTATTTCCCTTCCTTTGACTGGCATTGCATGTAGATATTCTGCCTTATACCCTTAAAGGAATCTTTTCTTTTGAGAGAAAAAGATGACTTATGGGCAAGGGGATTACAATTTGAGTCTTTTCTCTGCTTATCAGATTTACTTGATTTCAAGAAAATCAATTGCTTGTTTCATAAAGTCTCTAGACATTGGCAGAGGCCCTAAAGGATAGCAGACCAGCACCCCCACTGTTTCCTGGTCTGCACTCTCACATCAGCCCTTACAGAACTGTCCCTTGCACCTTAGCACACCTGAAGAGACAGGCTGCTTTAGTGGGTAGTTGGATTTTTTTCCGTGAGTGCATCAGGAACAATAGTTCTAGGCTAGCTGCCCCCATCCCAAAAGGATTTTCCGCTCTGTCAGTTTTGTCCTTCAGCTGTAAACTGCCTTTCCATTTGCATGGTTGAGTCTTTTACATGAGGCCTTGTGAACAGGCTTGATATCTGCTGGATTTTTTAATATCAGCCTTATTGAAATATATTGACATACAATAAACTGAATATTTAAAGTGTACAGTTTAAGTTTTGGCATACCATAAAACCATCACCACGGTGAGGGTAGTGAACATATTCACCACCCCACAAGTTTTCTCTTGCCCTTTTGTGATTTCTTCTTCTATCCCTGCCTGTGGGACTTCTACCCTGTGTTGGTTTCCCAGGGCTGTCGTAACAAAATACTATGAACTGGATGGCTTAAAACAACAGAAATTCATTCTCTCCCAATTCTGGAGGCAGAACTACGGAGTAAGGGACTGGCATGATGAGTTCCTTCCACAGGCTTTGAGAGAGAAGCTATTCCATGCCTCTCTCCTAACTTCCAGTGGTTTCTAGAAACCTTGGTGTTCCTTGGCTTGTAGACAAATTGCTCCAGTCTTTCTCTTCTGTCTTCCCATAGTCTTCTTTCTAGTTGTATGTGTCCTAATTCCCTCTTCTTATAAAGACATCAGTTTTTGGAATTAAGGCCTTCCTAATCCAGTATGACCTAACCTTACCTTGATTAAATCTATAAAGACCTTATTTCCAAATAAGGTCACATCCACAGATTGACCAGATGTTGAGACTTCAGCATATCTTTTTGGGGGACACAGTTCAACCCATGACACCCCATCTCTAGCCAACTACTGACCTGCTTTCTGTCAGTATATTAGTTTGCATTGTCTAGATAAATGGAATCATGCAGTATATGTTCTTTTTATTTGGTTTCCTTTACTCACATAATCTTGAGACTGGTCGCTTTTGTTGCATATAGTTCATTTCTTTTTATTGTTGGTGGTTTTCCATTGTATGGATCCACTGTTTATTCATTTCTCTACTGATAGACTTTTGGGTTGTTGCCAGTGTTTTGCTATGACAGATTAAACTATCATGAACATTTATGTGCAAGTCTTCGTATGGACATGTGCTCTCATTTCTCTTGGTTAAATAACCTAGGAGTAGAATGGCTTCTTTGGTGAAATCTTTTGCTTTCCCCCAGCCCTCTCAAAATGAGCAGCTCAGTTTTTTGTTGAGTTTTGCGAGTTCTTTTAGATATCAGATATATGCTTTCCAAAGGTCTTCTCCTAGTCTGTGACTTGATTTGTCTTTTAGTTTTCCTAAACAGTGTCTTTTGAAGAGCAGCAATTTTCTTTAATCCGGGGTGGTGGTGTGTGCCTGTAGGTCTAGCCACCAGGAGGTTGAGGTAGGAGGATCACTTGAGCCAGGAGTTCAGGGCCAGTCTGGGCAACATAGCAAGACCCTAGCTCTTTAAAAAAATTTAAAAATGGATGTTCTTCCATTGTTATGCTTTTTTACCTTGTTAAAGGAATGTATATGCGTGCATGTGTGTTTACATGTGTGTTCTTTCATGGATTGTGCTTTTGGTGTTGTATCTAAGAAATCATTAATTGCATGATGTATGTCATAACAGAATTTCTCCTGTGTTTAAAAGTTTTATGGCTTTGGATTTTATATTGATGTGTGCACTCCATTTTGAGTTGCTTTTTGTATCTGATGTGAAATAAACCCAAGTTCATTTTTCAAAATAAGATTATACAGTTGTTTATGGAATGCTTTTATTTACATGATCTATTTTGATTTTGTGTGTATATTTTAAAAACCTTTATTATGGTATTTGTAAGAGTAGTTAATATTGACTTGGCATTTTTAACAAAGCTGTATTTGTATTTTCTCTGTATAGTCATATGTTTTAGGTATAATATTTGGCCCAGTATATAAAAAGAAGGATCCCTGCCAAGCTGCCATTCAGACTCCTGTTTGGCTCTTCCAGAAAGACAGACTCCAGATAACAAGCAGTGTTTGGCACATGCCTGAATTTTAAAGTGGGTGATACTAAACTCTGTAGAGGAAAATGGAAGCTATATTGGAAAAACTTGTCCTCAGAAGCTGTATAAAGCTTTATGGATAAAATTCCATTATTCAGTTCTATCAGTTTATATGGACTATGAGAAATAAACTTTTGTAGCTGGTTTATTGCTGCCAAAAAATGTCAGGCCAAGTGTGTGTCCTGCTAAGGCTTGGAAAATGATATATCTAGACTTGCTGTTTTAACTGTATACTTGGAATTTTTAAAATTTAAAATACTTTAATAACAACATCTTTGTTTACTTCTAGTCGGCAGAACCAATTGAAAGACCAACAGCAACAGCAAGTGGTATCGTTATGCCCTGATGATACAGAGTGCCTGACAGTCCCAAGGTACAAGCGAGATCTGGTTCAGAAACTAAAAATTTTGCGACAAGAACTTTCCCAACAGCAGCCTCAGGCGGGTCACTGCCGCATTGAGGTTTGCAGGGAAGAGATTTTTGAGGTAAATGTACAAGTCTTATTTTATTTTATTTTTTCCAGAAACCCAATGCTTGCTAATACAAACCTTATTTTAAATTAGAGAGACATTACATTTGTTTTATGCTCTTTTCTAAGAATACTGAGAGAGCGCTCAAAATTTCTTTTTTCTTTCTCTTCCTTTATTTCTTCCTTTCTCTCCTTCCTTCCTTCCTTCCTTCCTTCCTTCCTTCCTTCC